GTAAGATAAAGCACTCACATATACTGTTTATGTATATAATGAAAAGAAGGGGTCCCAATACACTCCCCTGGATGACACCACTGCTAATCGGCCTAGGCCTGGAGGTCATCGAGCCAGTTTTTGTTGTCTGATTTCTGTCACTGAGAAATGATTTTATCCAGTTGTGGAGGGGGTTGCGTATCCCTAGTGAGCATAGCCTGCTGACTAACAGACTATGTGGGACTCTGTCGAAGGCTTTCCTGATATCGAAATAGAGGATAATTACTAGTTCTCTCCTATCTCTTCTATAGGTGACTTCGTTGAAAAAGTCTATATGGCAAGTGACGCAAGATCTTTTCTTAAGGAACCCGTGTTGTGACTGGTTGATGAGTTTGTGTTTTAGAAAGTAGTCTGACATTTGGTCTTTGATTACTTTCTCCATGATCCTTGATATGACAGGTGTTATATTGATAGGCCTATAATTACATGCACTAGTTTTGGTCCCTCCTTTATGCTTAGGTAGTATATACGTGTTTTTCCAAGTTTCAGGGTAGGTCCCAGTCACTAGTGAGAGGGTGAATATTCTAAGTAATAGTACTATCATATCCGAGCCACCGTTTTTATAAATGATAGATGGTATATCATCTATCCCACAACTACCGTTAGCTTTTAGTGTCTTTACCGCTGATGCTATATTTTGCATATTAAAGTTGATTTCACCTAACTCGTAGTTATTTTTGCAGGTTATATCGAGGATTGGAGACGGATGCGCTTTGGTGTTATTGGAGAACCATTGGTTTAGGAGTTCACAAATAATCTGGGGATCATCATAAATTATACCTTCATGCTCCAAGTGGCCAACATTATTTTCTTTACCCTTGTTTAGTCGTTTTTGCAGGATCTTGCAGAGTTCCTGAGTTTTAGAGGTGCCCCTTAGGGCCTTATTTTCCTCGAGTTGTGCCTTCATTTTATGTCTCTGCTCAAGATTTTTAAATGTTTCATGTATCTGGTGTAATGCACTAAATTCTTTATATAAATAAAATTTCCTTTTCAATTTCCTTAGTTTTAATCGCGTTTTGCGGTCTATGAAAAGGGTTGGTGTCCTTAAGGCAGACTTTAGGGGTGCGATTGTATCTCTTACCGAACTGACCGTCTTGTAGAAGGTATCAAGTGTTACTTCTAAGTTATCATTGGTAAAGTATTCATCCCAGTCAGAGCTTCTCAAGAGCGTTGGTAGGAATTCCCAGTCGGCATTTCTATAGTCCCTATATTGATAGTGAACCGGGGAGTTTTTAGGTGTGTGTTTAGTTATTAGTTGAAGAGGTAGGGTGCAGTACAGTATGTTGTGATCACTGTTGTCGAGTTTGTCCCCCACCTCTATCGAGATCGGCTCTATTTTGTGGCAGAGGGCTAAGTCGAGAATATTGTTATGTCGTGTTGGGAGGCGTACACACTGCTTCCATCCTCCTACATCTATAGCTTCTAGGAGCTCGTCATAGACTCTAGGTCCAGTGCAGGTATCCCAGTTCACTCCGGGGAGGTTAAAATCGCCACAAATTATTTTGTAGTCGAATTCCAGAGTAGGTACATGCTCTAGTATTTCTGCGATAACCGTATCAGTCGTTTTAGGGCTGCTGGGGGCTCTGTATATACATCCCACTAGAATTTTATTTTCATTCGTGTGGATGCTTATCCACTTAGATTCTGGGAGTTTGTCGATAGTTAGGTTTGTAAAAGTATTGGGGTCAGTAGATTTAGAAGCATATATTAGACACCCGCCTCCTCTTTTATCCACTCTATCATTCCTGTGGATGTCATAGTTATCAATTATCAGCTTTGTGTCAGGTATATCATTAGTTAGCCAAGTTTCAGTTACCAGGATCAGTGTTGGCCGTCTCATGTATACCAAGCTGCGAAGGGAAGTTATTTTGTTAAGGAGAGATCGAGCATTTAAGAGCATAATTTTTAGAAAACCAGTTTTGTTGGGAGGGTAATT